TAAGGTGTTTTGGGCACAGAATTTGCATTAAATTTTATATGATTAAGAATATTTTCACACAATTCGGTACACATTGACACTATGGATACACAATGTATTACACATAGCATAGTATTATTCACACACAGAATCGTATCGAAATAATTTGCATAAATAAATATAAATTTTATACTAGTGCTTTTTTTGTTTCTACACTGTTTTGCGTTTGAAATTTTTATTTTAAGCATACGTTTCGTGAATCTATTTTTAATTAGTATTTTTATCAATGAATTAGTTTATCAATTTAATTAAAAGCTATTACGATATTAGAAATGAATTATACTGTATAATGAAATCGTTTCAAGAGAATGACAATTAAATTCAAATAATTTTATAAATTTAATAGTTATCTATTTATCGGTTTAAAGCCCTAAACTATTTATGATATTTATAGCACCTTTTTATTTATTATATATAAAAGTCTAAAAGTTTTTTCAGCGGAAAATCTAATTTCTAATACTTTTGAGACTTAAATTGTATTTTTAGGTTAAATGCGTTGAAATATATAACACAAAAGGATAGCGAAAAAAGAAAAGTAAAAACTTTTCTACTTTTTGTTGTCGAAAGCGATCGTTCATGACATGACATAAGACTATTAAATAATTGTTAAGAAAAATCTAATTTTTATTTTATTTTTCAATTCCACAGTTAGAGTTAGCCCTCAATAAACACAATCACAATCACAGTTGACATTAGCTGCCTGTTTGCCAAAATCCATGTCCACACAAATGGCACTATTTCTATATATATAAAAAGTTATATATCCAGTACTGTATGCGATTGTATAACTGTATCTCTATTTTTTGACTCCCTTTCCCCACTCTACCTGACCATTAGGTCCAACGAAGTTCATTACTGTGGAGCTGAGGAAAGGCAGCATTAAAGACAAATTGGGTTTAAGTCTAATGCAAAGGACTAATGGCAGAGGAGTTTTCATTACATATGTCGTGAGTATTAGTGATATCGTTACTAAATGTATGATTTATATTGTATTATACGGACAGAAAGTGCATACAAATCTACACGGCTTATATATTTGAAAATAATTTGTTTATACATTTTTAGTCTAGAAATTCAGTACTTAAATCTAGGTTTAGTAATCCTTTTTTTGCCAGAGCCTATAAGTTATTTATTTTAGATAATGAGCCATGTTTTTTGTTTTACTCACTCATACAGAATATTCTGGCTGTTATTGAATTACTGAATGGATGCTAATATGAATTGAAGTTTTAGCAATTTATTGTATTTCTCTCTCTAATGTTATGTCAGTTTCCCTGAATGTACGCCTGAAGAGTGGATCACAAAAAAAAGTTTTTTAAATGAGATTTCATTAGCGAAAAAAATCTGACAGTTTTCTAATTAAAGTCTTTTCACTCATTATGCGATATGTTTTGCGCGGATTTAACTGTAATTGAAAATCAGATATACCCTACGATTTGGAGTAGCGATTGTTAAACACATAATTTTTATCATTTATTTGTTTTTCACTCGCTTTTCATATATAATTCATTAGATTTTGTGTTTCACTGTACAGTACACAGAATATTCCTGCACTTGATTTGCAAATTGTTTTGTAAATAATTTATTGTTTGTCTCGGATTTGTATGGCTATAATGAATAGCAGACTGCGATATAAAGCCATGTTTTATAGACACACACACAACAGAATATTCCGTACATTATGCCCATAGAGTTTGCACTCAATTTACTAATTATGTTATCATTTTTAATAATTAAATTTACACTAATTTTTTGATTACTTTATTTTTGTGTTACTATGTGATGGCATCTCATGTATGGTTAGCAACCAAACAGTATCGCCGGACAGCATAAAAACATAGCACAGGGCGACCAGATTCTCGAGATTAATGGCCAAAACGTAAGCATACATTCCGTTAGCACTTCATATTTAGCGACTTTATGTCATTTTATTGACAAACAAGTGTTTTCTCTCAGCACTTGTAATACTAAAACAAATACATTGTATATAACAAAAACGATTGGCAAACATGTAATCAATAAAATTAG